AATGCAGGATTTTGGGTGCCGGACCCCCCTTACTTGGCTTCAATGATTTTTAGGAAAGGGACACTTTCATCTCTGTACCCTGGTCAAGATGAGATGTGGTCTTCCACGGGTGTACACCTATGGAGCTTCTGTCATCAGGTGTCACACTCCATGGGCTTCCTTTGGAGGTTTTCTGAGGAGAGCTCATCTAGGTTTAAATTTGCACCAGCCCTTCCACCAATTCAATATGGGATTCTAGCTATTCTTTGTGTTTGGAGGTGAAATATAATATTGGAAGTTAACATTTTCCTGATTTGAAAATGTATTTCTGATAGATACCTCTTCACACATTCCAATTTGACCTCCCCAATTCTGGTGCACTTTATTCTTACCTTGTCTAAGAATAAAGTTATTTTGAGTGCAAGTGCTCAAGAGGAGTTACTGCACCTGGAGTTGTGTTACCCTCCTATTGGTGGAGGGCTTTTGTTGCAAGATGATGTCATCATTAATCAGAGCAGTTCACATTAAAAATGTGAATCTTAGGTGGGAGTTAGGTCAAGGCTACTGGCATGCAAATCACATAGGCAGATGCATTAGGGAAATAGCTGTTCTGTGTGTGGAGGTATCTTTTGGAAATACATTTTTTAGATTAAAAAATGTTAACTTTAGGTAAAAAATGATGAATAGTTCATTTTTGTGGAGCAGTAATGGCTGATTAATAATTTGTTGATGTAAACATGTAAAGATTACTAAACAAACTGTTTATGTATAGGCTTTAACTCTATCGTCACAGGTCGAAAGGCCATGTCATCGTGTATGTTCAAAATTTTATTGAACTACTATTTTATTAATTTATGTCAGTAAGTTTGGTACCAAACTGTAGATTATATTTCAAAGTTTAGTATTTATACATTATTTGATTTCTTTAATTAAAAGTAAATATCAAAAAAACATTGATGTTTGTGATGTCAAAATACAAAGTCTGTAGTTTCATACGATTTGGGAACTCAAATTACTGATGTTAACAAGCAAGAATATAAAATAAGAACCTCTCTTTTCTCTTTGCTGAGTTATTGCTCATGTACTGAATCCAACACAGTGGTTCTGCTCACCTCTTTCCATTTTTGGAAATGGTTCTTATATACACTTACTTCTGTATATAACATGTGAATAACCAAACAAAAACTCAGAATGTCCTTCTATTGGCTCTTCTCAGCTATTTTAAAGTGTTATGACGTCATTACATTCTTTCTATATAAATCTTCATTCTGGTAAGATGAGTCTTTAGTGAGCTTCAAATTTCATATTTTTTTAGACCCAAATACAGCTTAGTTACTATGTTTGATAAATTATAGTGGAATTCTATGGTATTGATATAGTAATTTATGAGTTTTGGTTGTTTCAAATGTATATATAAACTCTAAACAAAATTATTTTGTTTCACATCCTCCATGTGTGAAATTTGTTATAGAGTTTAGCAACCTATGGCAAGCAGCAAACAACTATAAAGTTAGTAACTAGAAGAGATAATTGTTTGCTATACTTATTTATTTTCTGTTTTGTTTTAAGAAAAATAACTGAAAATTAAGAACTTATTTGCAAATAGTAATAATGTATTTACAAAATACTAGTCCATTAAAACACAGCCAAGACAGGTCACTTTGTAAAGACCAGTTCTATATTCTTGGATACCGGAGCATGAGTGCATATATGTTGCATCATTGCAACTTCTTTAATGTTAGCCAGGCACAACTGGAAGGTCAGTATAATAAATATATATAAATGTATAATGTTATGAAATTTAAGCTATTTAGACTAAACATTTGCGATTTCATTTTATAATTTGTAGTCATTCTAGAATGAAAAAAGCATAATTTATATTTATTTCCAAATTTTTTAACATGGTTACAAGGTTGGTCAAATTGACAGATCCCATATAATTAGGATAGGGTAGAGAAAATAATAGACAAAATATAAAGTTTTACTAAAAACAAACGTTTGAAATGTATTCAAAATGTTTTAGAGATCATGCAAATAATATTTAAGATTTTTGGGACAAAGAATAGTTTTTTAATCATAACATGAAAATAACTCTTGGGCTAGTAATGAAACAGACTCAATATTTTCACAAACAAATCTTTAGTAAAATTACATCATTAAAACTGATTTTTTGTGTACAAAAGACTTGTAATCATTACTAAAAGTCTCCTAAATTTTGCAAAGATACACACACACCATTAAACATTATAGTATAAATACTTAACATGTGCAAATGTGTATAAGAACTTGTTTATTTTATACCGAACCTGTTGTGGAAGGGTTAACACCTTGAGAAGAGAATACTTTAGAATAACTGAATTGCATGACTGATGAATGATTTAACATATCATTTTGTCCCAGTAGGAATGTCTATAAAGATTACAAACAGTTGGAGCTATCATGTGAGGGTCAAGAAGAAGTGGACAGTTGGAAGGCATCATTTCTCAGAGCAGGTGTATATCCAGACAGATCATCAGGGTCAGTAAATGGAGATGGAGAGTCTGAAAGTTCAGGCCAATCTATAGACCCTCAGTTAGAGCGTCAAGTTGAAACAATCAGAAACCTGGTGGATTCTTACATGAAAATTGTAACCAAAACTTTCAGGGACCTTGTGCCTAAGATTATCATGCATTTAACAATTAATAGTGTAAGTTTGTTATTTCGTTTAGGATTAAGTAATCTTTGTAACTGGGAATTTGAATGTTTCATTTCATTTTTGCTTTAACTTTGTACATGTGTTATAACTGTACCAAGATAATCTTATAAATTTATTATGATATTTACAAACATACTATATGAGATTGAAAATGTATTAAACTTTACTGTTTTCTAGAGCAAATGACAATTTCTTCTTCATAGTTTTGAGAAACATTAGTTATTCAACACGTCATTCTTTTTGTGCATTTCTGTTGTTAGGAAAGTACTGACTATAGAAATTTTTTTTTCCTGATAGGCAAAAGACTTCATCTACAGTGATCTGCTTCCAAGCCTTTACGCATCATGTGATCAGGTAAAACCTGTATTTTTAGGAACAACCTATGTTTTTATATCCTATGAAAAAATATGTAAAGATGTATCAACAATTCTTTATTTACATGCCTGACAGCATGCATACACGCACATTTTGGCATTACAATATATATATATATATATTTTTTTTTAGCTCTACATTTTTCAGGTTTTATACATGTTACTTTTTGAGTAAATTGTATAGTCTTTAGACCAGTTTTTTCCAAATTGTGTGTCATGGCAAGTTGCTAGGGGTGTTGCAAGACTTCACCAAATTATAAATAATTAAGAACAAAAGATATATATATCTATTGCATATAGAAATGGGTATTTTGCACAAATCAAGGTAAGTGGGTTAGTGTGTCATAAGTAAAAAAAGTTTGGGAATCACTGCTTGAGACCAAACAAAAACTTTCTTATCACATTTCTCTTGTATAATTGTTTATAGTCTTGAAATCAGTCATATGAAAACATTTGATATTAATCCTTTTGTGTGTTCCAAGCCACTACCAGACAGATTTGAAAGTGGTGATTAAAAATAATGTGATAAAAGACATCTGCATTGAAACATGATTTTAACCATTTCTGTTGTGCTTTGTTTTACCAGATGTACTGTGTTACACCATAGGAATTTGCTTTATTTTACTTCTTTCATTATTTTAATTTAACCCTCTCACTACGAGCTGGTCAAAGTGTGCATGTCGCAACTTTTTTAGAGCTAAATTCAAAATTTAATTAAACTGCTTTATTATCATTGTATACAAATAAATCTGGCATAAAAATGTAGTTAATAAATCAAATTTTAAAATTATATCAGTTTTAAGCTCTTAATTTTATAAAGAAATATTTTAAAAAATCCTTAATTTCCCATAGTACAAGAATTGTGACATTTGTTCTCAATGTCTTCCCTCTTCTCTAATTTATTTACTACCCATCTGAGAAGTATGGAATTAAACATAGATTACTCATTGTAATATAAATATTACTCAGGCAAAGCATAATTTTTATAGCATTCAGTCTTGTTTATTTACAGAGCCATAAACTAAAAAATCAGACCCATTTGCCACGCCCACCTGTCACATCCTCTATTTTCACAAATTATCAATAGCTCTCTCTCTCTCTGATGTTTTATACTATCTTATTTATAACCAATAAAAATCCAAACTTTTAATCAATCATATGATGTGTTGTAATACATTGTTTTCAGTACAGAGTATTGTCTATTTCTTCTTCAGTTTGAAAGCTTCTCTTGCTGTGGTCATATCAACAAGCTTAATATAACATTTAAATGTGCTTATGTTATAGTTAGAAAGTCAGATACATTATGATAGTTATAGGACATTCCCTGCTTTGTGTGCTTGTTATTATTTTATGTTTTTAAGTACATTGTTTAAATAAATAAAAATGTAGTTCACTAGTACCGTTAGTATAAAAAGTAGG